ACTAAACAGCCCCAGCTCCCTCAGCCGCTCCTCATAAGACTTGTGCTCCAGACCCTTCACCAGCTTGGTTGCCCTTCTCTGGACAAGCTCCAGCACCTCAATGTCTTTCCTGTAGTGAGGGGCCCAAAACTGAACACAGGACTCGAGGTGCGGCCTCACCAGTGCCGAGTACAGGGGAACAATCACCTCCCTGCTCCTGCTGGCCACACCATTTCTGATACAGGCCAGGATGCCGTTGGCCTTCTTGGCCACCTGGGCACACTGCTGGCTCATATTCAGCCGGCTGTCAACCAGCACCCCCAGGTCTTTCTCTGCTGGGCAGCTTTCCAGCCACTCTTCCCCAAGCCTGTAGCGCTGCATGGGGTTGTTGTGACCCAAGTGCAGGACCCAGCACTTGGCCTTGTTGAACGTCATGTAGTTGGCCTTGGCCCATCGATCCAGCCTGTCCAGATCTCTCTGTAGAGCCTCCCTACCCTCAAGCAGATCGACCCTGCCTCCCAACTTGGTGTCATACAGCTTAGTTCCCTTAAAAGTTAGAGGCTTTTTTTTTTTAAGCTTTCAGATATAAAAAATGCAAAACTGTTTTTGTGCTATTAAAATTTCTAATTAAAAACCAAACCAAAACAAAAAACCCCAAACAAACCAAAAAAACAAACATGGCAGCAGCTGGTAAGACAGGTTGGAGCTACAGAGAGAACTGCATTAGCACCATGTTTGTCTGACATTGCTGGTTAGTCTCTGAACAACATGCACCACTGTGGCTTTTGATTTTGCTGTAGAGTACCTGATGATGATGCCTAGTAAGTGAGTACAGTTGGCCTGGTACTGTCCCAAGGTTTAATTTGTCTTGGGATTCAATTTTCGCTACCACAGAATGTTGCAAGTGAGATACGTGCATGGGGGCATCCTGGTGGATAAAAGAGTGATCCTGGATTTTATTTATATTGACTTAAGGTCAATAATGCTTGTTTCTCTGACTAGCTTGCTTTCTCCGTGTTCTATTAAAACAGTGATGCCAGCAATGTACTGCTTTGTTTAAGGAAATAAAAAGCTGCCCCTTTGCATGTGCCTTCTTTTCGAGTGATGTGATAGGTGTTTAATAAAGAACCTCTACCTGCAAAACTCTTCTCGTGGTCTCTGGCTTCTAAGGTGTTGGAAAACTTGCGAGCTACTTGTCTGCAGCATTTTGCTGTTAAAAGCACACAGCACGAGGCCATCGGCTGAAGCGCGCTGAAGAAGCTCTGCGCGCTCTTTCGGCAGCCCGCCTTCTCCGAGGCGTGGGAGGGCGCTGGCGTCGGACGCCTCTCGCGGGGGCACCGTACTCGAGGACTGACGTTCGGCCAAGGCTGCGCTGGAGCCCCGGCAGCCGGCGGGGCCTTGCTCGGGCAGCGCGCGGCGGCTCG